ACGTGATGAAGATCTCTTGTTCCTAAAGAATCCCACCTGCTCTGAATTACATTTCATAGGATGCCGGTGTTCCAAAATATAAAAAAACTCGCGCATAAGTAACTCTTACATCCATTCTATGACGCAATGGCACACGGCGTCTTTTATGACGGTTGGACTAGCACTGTCGGATCTGGACTCCGCTAAGCATACAAAAACGATTTTTTACTACCCTTATCGATGATCTTTTTTCAAGGCGAGAATTAGAATTGGGTGATCTGTTTCGCAGTTGTCTACTTTCAGAGGGACGATAAACTTACCAGATTAACTAAAGATTTCAGACCCATGAGAATAGCGGTGGCTACATAGGTCTGTGCCGTCATCGACCCTAGCCATGATCAATCTAGCTATTTTGCGGCATTTAATGTACAGTGGATCTGGAAATTTACACACGATTGATACTTACGACGGCTCGATTTGTTATTTGTTTGTCGGAATATCAACTGCTGGGCACACCATTCACCTTGTGTCTTTTAAATTTAAAATGCAGTGTAGGGATTGGCCAGTTCCCAGTGTACGGTAAAATAAAAAGTATATTCTTTTATCTAAAACTACAGCCCATCACTAAGCTGGTGAGCCAAAATCCTCTAAATGGCCATCCCCAAATGACAAAAATTTATTTCATAACCCTTCTGCTTAAACCTTTTGACATTTCCCTCTCGATGATATCAGTCCTTGCCTTACCGCCTGCATCATTTGCAAAAACTTTCAAAGGTCCATTAGGCAGGCGTTTGTGAGATCTGCAGACTTAACAGTCTTTAAAATAAGTGAATCTCCAGTGGAAAATTTGACTGTTTCCTGCATGGTCTGAATTTGGCGGAGGTTTCGGATGCGAAGACACACACCGCTAACTGACCGACTTCACATGCGGCAACAGTAGCAGACTCAAACGGAATGGAAGTCACAATCTACGGCGTTTGTTGCCATGTCGCGAAACTCAGACAGTTTAGACTAATTAATTCTATGGCAAACGCACGATGTAGCGGTACGAGGGGGTGCCAGAAAAATTAAGAATTATCTTTTGCAGGCAAGTAGGTTGGCATCGCTGCCCTCTCTTTCTATCTGGGCACATTTACTAAACACTCTCCCCCTCTCTGATCAGTTAACGAAAATCAGATTTTGCTTCCTCTCATTAATGGTTTATTTAATTGACATCAAGTGAGTCGTTTACGTTGAATCTGTTCCTAGTGGCACCAAGAACTGAAGCGATTGCATGAAGCACCGATAAAAAGAACGACCGGAATTGTGGCGATCGGGTTACTGGATTCTTCACTATGACGATATGTTGTCCACATAGCGTTCAAAATACATCAGTTTAGGCAAAAACAGCATGATAACGATGTCTTGTGTCCTTTACTTGCCCTACCTAGACCCCCCCGCCGGTGACTTCTTATTTCCACGGATGAAGACTATCCTAAAGAGAAAGCGTTTCCAGAACGTAGATGGGCTTAAGGATAAATCGCTGGAGGTGCTTAACAGCATTAGTTCAGAAGAATACAAAAGTGTTTTGAACAGTTAAAAACCCGTTGGGACAATGTCACATCATCTAATGAACAGTATTTTGAAGGCGATTTATGCTTTTAAAATGTTTATTTAAATAAAAAATCCGGTGGGTAATTATCGTTTTTTTGGTTACAACCTCGTATTAGGTAGGGGAGGGGGTAGCACCATTACGGCACTGGACAACAGTTCCGACTACTATGCGGGCTCAGGGGGGTGAAGTGATAGACTAAACACAGAACCCCATCTCTCACACTTCTAGAACCTTCATCTGCTATGTGACTCAGTGAGTCGGGACATTTCTCGATGTATCGATGGCAATGGACATCGGCCTCTACCTGTAAACACAGTAACCATGGCGACGGTATTTGTGCAGGATGACACATGTCTGTGAGCGTATATATTATCATATTCCGCACGAGGGAGAGTTGAGATAGTGTACTAAAAGGGCTTCTAGTGAAGGAGTCGTGTTACAACATGGCATAAACTT